GCACACACTCAAGAGGTGAAACTTTTTGCCACGGCTCCACCTGTGCCTTGAAGCTGGAAGCTGACACGCCCCTCGTCCTTCTTTTTTTTTTCTGTTCTTTTGGCGAGTGACGGATGCCGCTGCTGTCACTTTGCTGCCCCACACGCCGTCACACATACGCACACACCCTTTTTTCTGCGATGAGGACGAAACGTCGTCATGGGCACGTGGTGGGGCCGCGTCTTTGTTTGGCGGTGACCCTCCGCAGGCATCGTGATGCTTCCCGCCTATGCCGCACGATGTTTTGGGTGAAGGTTCATGGGTGGCGCTGGAAAGGGAGTAATGGACAGAGTGGCCTGCCTTCGAGCAGTGTGGATGCTCTGCCTTCAGCGGAGTGTAAAGTAAATATGGCGGTGATTTGCCGTCGTGTGGGATTGGGGGTGCCTCTGCGTGTGTGTGCGTGAGGTGTGCGCCGCGTGCCGTGTGTGTGGCCCTTTCTCTTTTTTTGTTGTTGTGGCTGCGTAGGGTCGTGTTTGTGCATGTTTTTGGCTTTTTTTTCATTCTCCCTTTTTTGGCTAGTGGTTAGTATTGCTTTACAACTTAAGCCAACAATCACTACAAAAGGACAACAAGTTCAAGGAAAACATGTCGGATAGATATAGGGAAGAATCTCACCCCACCGAGGAGACCCCCGCACAGCGCCGAAGGGTGGAAGGAGCGCTGCAGCGGCCAAGGAGGACGTTATCGAGCTCTATCGAGGATGTCCTTAATGTACGGGTTGGTCAAAGCAACGGAATTTTGCTGAACGACTTCCTTCGGCAGTACATTGGCCCCAGCAGAGCGGTGGGTGAAGACCAGAATGTGGTGATGTAGGTGTTTGTGCAGCAGCCCGCAGAATACGTTACAGACCAGAGGCGTCGTGAGGGGAAATTCTCAATTCACCAGGGTATCAGCTTTTTGAAGATGCACGCAAGCTTACGGAGTGCATGGTGGGCACGCTGCGAGGCTGGAAGGAATTTACAGATAATGAGTATTGTCTCTGCTATTACACGGACAAAACTGAAGGCAGCTCTTCAACTAGCGTAGGAGGAAGGGGCAACACGGGAAACCGAAATACGCCCCAGAGGACCATCACCGGAGGCATTCTACGAGTCCGTGTTTAACGCAACGTGGAGTCACGTCGTGGGATTTCCCGAGGGCGAAGTGGAAGACATGGTGGTGATAGAGGGCCAACGGCCACAAGAGTTATTATGGGAATACACGCAGACTGTGTGTACTTTTCTCCCAGTGGGTGGTGAGGAGCAATTCCATCCACCACGCCCAAAACACATGATCCTTTCCTTTGAAAAGCGATGGCCTTACTCGCTGAACCATGCAGTGCCTATTACCGACTGCTACATTAACATTGAGGTGCATCGGGTGTGGAAGATCGTCGAGGGTGATGTAAAAGGAGTGTTTCCCCCTCCAGATACATACGCACCTAAAATGAGACGTCATCTTTTGATTGGAACTTCTGGGGTGGGGAATTCAATGGCGGCTGGCTCCTACCTCCTTTATCAGCTGCTGCACTACGATGCCACGAAGCTCCATGTGGTTGTGTACTGCTTTGGAAGGGATTTTGCATACTTGTTTGACAGGAGGACACGAACGGTGACAGAATACGAGGGTGAGAGTAATATTGACGATGTTATGGTAAATTTGGCTAGGACTGGAATGAAGGGGTATATTATCATCGATATGGCAAGACAACTTCAAGAACCATCGACTAATGTTGTGCCCTCCCCTGAGTGGGGCATCATTATGTTGTCGTCCCCGAACGAAAAGAACTTCCAAGCATGGGCGAATCAGGAGGGTGCTATCGAAATCATCATGAATTGCCCCGATGAAAACGACGTGAAGGCGATGTGTGCGTGGGGGACACGCAGTACGACTGAAGAGGAGCAGGTGGAGTACTGGAGAAGGATGCACATGCGCATGCATGACGTCGGACCGATTCCACGATGCATCTTTCACGACAATAAATATAGAAAGCGCGTGCGTGATGCCAATAACATCCTGGCAGGTATCGACGCTTCAAATGCTGTACATTATGGGATGATTGGAGGTATGGAAGAGTGCCCCTCGAATGACGCTTCTCACAAACTTGTGAAAGTTGTCAGATTAGTAACACAACGCGGTCTTGAGGCGTTTGTTAACCTGCCGGTCTGTTTTTCTCTTGGAAGCAAATTATTTGCAAAGTTGCTCGAGGTGGGTGAGGAGAATGACATTATTTTTCGACTATTGAAGTACCGTTGAGTGTTAATTCCGGAAATTTTGGAGCGGTGCACTCTGCTCGCATTTCTGAGTAGAGACTTTGTGGAAAATATAGTGCCAGGCCTCAACGAGTTGCCTCCACCAGGACGTTGCCGGTAACAGAGATGTGTGCAGCAATCGAACCCCGAAAAGCATCCAAGCAGACCCGTTGGATTAATGGCGCTGGGGCACACTCCTCTGATGTTGGATGCACAATGCGGGGTGATATACGTACCGGAGAGCAGAATCTTTCCGCTTGTGGGGATGGTTTTTTCTTCGTTGGTGCACCGCAGAGGACGATGGTTGCGGTGCAGGTGAGACGACGAGGGCTGAGCATGGCACCAGAACCAGCACGGTGAGGCGGTTCAACAGTCTTCC